TGCCAATCGCACAACTGTGAGATTGTTGACAGCCAAGTCGCGGGTCGCACCGATAAAAAAGCGATCGTTGCCGCAGTTGGAACTGTGCGGTGCTCACCTACTCGCAAAGGTATTTCAACAAATACAATCTTCCATGAGCAAGTACTACGGACATACATTTTTTTGGTGCGATTCGTCAATTGTGCTGCATTGGTTACGTTCGCATTCAGCTACACTCTCGACGTTCGTTGGCAACAGGGCAGCGGAAATTCAAGAACTCACCAAAGGCTGTACTTGGAGATACGTACCTACACAAGATAACCCTGCAGATATCGTGACCAGGGGATGCACAGTCCAGGAACTTCACGACTCAATCTGGTACACGGGGCCATCATTTTTGTTGTTGCCAGAGGACCAGTGGCCATGCAAACTAGCGCATAACCAGTTAGATATGGCAGAAGTTGAAAGGGAAAAACGCAAATCTGCATTCTGCATTGTCGCCCATTCAAACATGCTTGATGTCATCGAAAAATTTAGTTCGCACATTTATTCACTTCGAGTGGTATCTTGGATCTTTCGATTTTATAACAAAATCAACACCAAACTCAACAGACCCTTCGAGTCGGCCTCGTTAACTCCACAGGAGCTTCAGCATGCTCTCTGGTGCATCGTGTGTTTAATCAAACGCTATTATTTTAGCGCCGAGATTGATCGTGTCAAGACGAATCGCGAGCCTCGAGGACCTTTGAAGTATTTGAACCCATTTATCTCTTCTACTGAAGGGTTCATGCTACTGAAGGTTGGCGGACGCTTGAAAAATGCTGACCTCGTAGAAGAACAAAAACATCCTGTGTTTCTGCCTTCGAAGAGTCAGTTCGTCGAAAATTATGTTCGTCATTTACATCGCACAAACTACCACGCTGGTCCGAAAACGCTTATTGCTCTTATCCGTCGCCGATTTTGGATAATCAATGCAAGAAATCTCGCTCGCCGCATTGTCAATGGCTGCATCCACTGTGTACGCTACCGTCCACGGCTTCTTGAGCAAATGGTGGGTAATTTGCCTGTAGAGCGACTAACTCCGAGCAGACCTTTTTCACGAGTTGCAGTTGATTATTGCGGCCCAATTAATAAATACCTTCGGATCAGAGGAAAGGTACCTTACAAGACCTACGTCGCCATTTTTATATGCTTATCAAGCAAAGCCGTACACATCGAAGCTGTATCGGATCTTTCGACCGAAGTATTCGTCGCTGCTCTAAAGCGTTTCATCGGTCGCAGGGGCTTGCCCAGCGACATCTTTTGCGACAACGCTACAAATTTTGTGGGAGCGAAGTCCAAATTAGCTGCCCTTAAAGACTTCTTATTTGATTCAAAAACGCAAACCGAAATAGTAAGTTTTTGTTCACAAGAATTTGTTAACTTTCGTTTTATACCCCCCAGAGCACCCCACTTCGGCGGCCTATGGGAGGCTGCGGTGAAGGCAGCCAAAGGTCACTTAGAACGAACACTTTCTGGTGCTCGCTTAACGTTTGAGGAGCTGTCAACGGCATTAATTGAAATCGAGGCCATTTTGAATTCTCGGCCCATTGCCCCACTATCCACAGATCCAAGTGACTGCGAAGCGTTGACTCCGGGGCACCTGCTGATTGGGTGTTCGCTAAAGGCACTACCAGAGCACTCAGAATCGTACAAGCAGATCGATCACCTAAACCATTGGCATCGAATCACAGCCGTGAAGCAACACTTTTGGCAGCGCTGGTCACATGACTATTTAAATGAATTGCAGTGTCGCACCAAGTGGACCAAGGGCAAGACAAATATCGCTAGTGGATCGCTCGTTATAATACACGAAGACCACGTTCCGCCACAAAAATGGGTTATAGGCAGGATTTCGAATTGCATTCCAGGAAAGGATGGGCTAATTCGCGTCATTGACATAAAAACAACAAAAGGAACTATCCGACGCCCTATTCACAAAATCTCACTGTTGCCTGCTTGAAAGTGATACTTTCAAGGAGGGCGGGATGTTGGATCACCGCAGTTCTATTTTTAGTTTATAAGTCAAACGCTTTAATATGAATCCAAGTTAAATCGTTAACTCAAAGCTACCCTAATATTTCTATGAAATTGTAAAGCTTACTTGAATTGGAGCTGGAAAGACTTGCAACTGTATTGGAACTCGAACTCCGAATCTATGTACACATTAAATGGAAAATAAAAAGAGAACCAGTTAAAATTAGAGCAGCTTCGCAAACAGACGTGTCTTTTCGTTAGTTTTGTCTAGATTATTTTTCACTCGTTTGTCGTGCCCACGATTTAGTAATCTTGCAATTTACGCAAGTCGGTAAGAAAACCCTTTTATCGTACAGATGGCGTGATTCGGACCCAGTTTTATGTATATGTTTCTTGTTTCATGTTTTATTGGCGTGAAATATATTTTTTGTTGTTTTATAAAAAATACAATTTACTATATACAATTAGTAGATTTTTTCTTTGAAAGAAACCGTATTAGATAGTTTATACACAAACTGGATAAATCAAGGCGAATTCATATATAATTACACTAACAAATTTCACGCATAATGACAGTAAGAACTATAACAAATGCATACATAATTTTGACATTAAGAACCATCGAGGCGAAAATCCAGCTGCATAGTTAATACCACCTTATGTGAATTCGCCTTGATTTATCCTTTATATATGAGTATAAGCTATAAAATATTGTTTCTTTTAACAAAATCTACCAACTTCTACCATTTTTTGTATGTAAAATCTACCAATATAAATTTTTTCGAAGTCCGTGCACTGCTCTAATGTCACTAGTGAGCAAACCTTTAATTATTGAATCATGTATCGAACGTACTTTACACTCGTGCTTGAGTTCTTTCCTTAAAATCCATTCGTCATTAAAAAAGGAATCGCGTTTTGGATTGTTTGTGTAATTCACTCATTTTAACCCGGACACAATTACAATTTTCTTTACATCTACTTTCAAGAATTTACACATTTAAAAGAAAACAATAAACTATGAATTTGTCAATGTTATTGTGGCTTGTTAACATTTTATTTTTAATATTTTCATTGAGTTTTGTACCACGATTGTTTATTAGGAANTCCATTTATAAAAGCGTTGTATATTAAAAAGTTTTTTTTATATTATTTATTTTCTACTTTTTAGTCCTGTCTGAATAAAATTTTGCAATAGATATTAAAATAATTCAACGATATTAATAGAAAGGTGCACACACATGCATTTACATATGTATGTACATACAAACGAGCACCAATTAATTTTATTTAAAGAAATGGCGTGTCGTCTATTTCCGCTGTAGCAAACGTAGTACATAGGGCGACATCTAGATGTCATCTACCTCGCCCTATTCACTACAGATGTCGCCCTATGCACTATGCACTATGCTTTTTATAGGAACATTTCAAAGCAAAGGTTTTATGGTGTCGGACACACAACATTGAAAGTTTCTGGATCCACAACATTGAAAGTTTCTGGACACACAACATTGCAAGTTGATAAAAGCGTTGTAATAAAATGTTAACAAGCCACAATAACATTGACAAATACATAGTTTAGGAAGAGCCTGCCTGAAACTATACAAAAAAGCAAATAAGCAAATCGATGTATAGAATTTACAACAACAACCACGCTATCGAGTTGAAATAGCGGCAAATCAGCTGCACTTGATAGTAGTTGGTTGAATAAGGAAAATTAATTAGCAACAAGAGTTTACGGGATGTACATAGCTCAGTGGTTAACGCTTCTGACTTTGAACATCGACTACGCAGGTTCGATCCCTGCTGAAGTCTAGAAAAAAGAAGTCTGATGAGGAGATGTGGTGATCTCTTCAATTTTTCCTAATAAACAATCGTGGTACAAAGCTCAATAAAGATATTGAAAACAATAAACTTTTTACGATTATCAGCTAATTGAACGGCGTTGCCACAAATTGTTAGCAAACAGTCTGCAGGACTGTAGCAGTAGCAAACAAAATACGGCGTATACTGTCGATTAGTAAATAGAATTTGTAAAATATACAAATATTACGAATTTGTTACAACGAGATATCTAAATGTTTTTCTTGCCTAAAACCGGGACATTCCGCGTCCCGGTATGTGTTGTACCGGGACCGGGATATAGCTTTTAAATCCAGGACAGTCCCGCTGAAAACGGTACGGTTGGCAACCGTGGTTATCACACATTGTATTGTATTTTTATGAGAAGCTGTTTTTCATGGCAGAAATACACTCGGAGGTTTGCCATTTCCTGCCGAGGGGTGACCGCCGTTAAGAAAAAACTTTGACTTGAACCCAGGATCTGCAGATTGGTAGCGCGCACTGCTAACCACTGCACCACAGCGGCCGCCTGTTAATGCTAACCTTACAAATAGCTTGTTGGTAGAATTTACTATTAATTTTCAAAGTTAGAGTTAACATCAATAATGACAGTTAAGTCCCAGATAAGTTTCAACATCAGAAACTAGTATTTTTTACATAAAATTGCCAATTTCTAGAAGTGAGCACAAACAAATTTCAGGAAAAAACAGCGCAATATAATACCAAAAAATAGTTTAACTTCCGTTGCGTAGCAATTTTACAAGCAATGGCATAGAGTCAGAAACTTTTGCACTGTATATTTAAAACATACCTGGGCGAGATAGGGTTTGTGGAGTTCATGTAGTTTAGACCACGCTCAACATCAGATCTGGGATTCAGATTTTGTAATTGTATTTCAGGTCCATTGGGGTTATCGTCGGTGGCTGCTTGCTGAGCATTCGCAATTCCAGTTACAATGAGCATATGAGTTTGTCGGCGGAGTATAGGCATAGGAAGTGGCAATTCACCATGAGCTGCGCGTGCTGTTAGAGAGAGTGCACACAATTTCTGGCGTACGCCATAGTGATTTACCAACACACCCAATGCAGGTATAATAAAAACGGCGAAGGTATGGAAAATAATGAAAGAAATTAAAACAGTGCTGGCGCCAGCATCGTATATACAATTGATTCTAACGTTTGGTGAAATAGTGCCAATATGAAAATATTGTCCCATATTAACGTTTTCGCTAGCACCAGCCAAAACTTCGGACGAGATCGGATATTTTATACTTTTATCATTCAAGTTGGTTGCACTTCTAGCCATTATTTTATAGGTGAAAAGGAAAGGTGTACTGAGAGCAGCTGAAGCTATCCACGACAAAAGGGCTACTGATACATGCAAAAAGCGACGCTTGCGTAGTTGTGCTAAAGATGGGTGTCTCACAGTAGCATAGCGATCCAAAGAAAGCATGAAAAATGAAATGGTACTAGCGGCTACCGGCATAACCTGCAAAATCGAACGGCCAGTTTGTTAATACTTAAAATTAATATTTGCACTATATGAAAATAGTTTTTCTTCTTACCTGCACATAATGAATGATTTTGCATATTGTCAACGGTAAGGAGTTACTCTTATAATTTAAAGCTACATTTAAAAACGTCACTGGAGCTGAAATAGCAGTTACCAATAAGTCAGCAAGGCAAACGGCTAGCAACAAGGGATTTCGCATGCGCACTTTCGAGGCAGAACAGAGCGTTAACAATAGCGTCGCATTGCCCAGGACGCCGCCGAATATTACCAGTCCAAACGATATGATCATTATAAGCAAAGTTAGCGAGGATATAGAATTTGCTTCTTTGCAGTTTATATCATATGAGTTACTTTTCCAAGTATTATTATTAAAATCGTCAAAATCGTTGTTACCGATCTGTGGCAATAGATTTAACCTCGCTGCATCCATTTTTTCGCTGTGTTGAGGTAACTGCAGAGCGTGTAAGTTTTGAGGATTGAAGGCATATTGTAGATGGTGATGACGAAATGTGTTTTGCCACCATTGCTGCATATTATCGCTGTTCATTGTAGCTCCAATTACTTCAAAATGAGAATCAGATACTGCCTAGCAATTATTCCTGAAAATATAATGCATCTAATTAAAATCAAGATATGAAAATCTATATTTCTTAACGCAATTTATAAATGTTACTTGATTACGATACACATAAATAAAGACATATATAGAGTAGTCCGGTAAATAAGGTGTTCACTGCATAAGCAAAAGATTTTAGTTCGTTATCCTTGTTTTTACATCTCCTACGAAGCAGATCAGTGCCGCGGAGCTGCAGAGAAAACAGATGCCGCCTACAGGACCATGCTGCGATAGAGCGCAACGTATTTGCCGCAGTAAGAAGAGATAGGCTGAAATAAATTGATAAGGTGCATGCAGCATGCATAACGCTCTTATCTTCTTTTGGACAAGAAACCGTATACTACTGCGAAAAAAATTCGTTTAGCAGTGTCTCCATTTCAAAATTAAATAATTTTTTACAGTACAGTATTTTTTTAAGCAGTTTTCCAATAAAATAAAGGAATTCCTTGTATTATGTGTACCGTTGTATACCCCAAGGCAAAATCATATATCTAATAAAGTCCTTGTAAATTCAAATTTCTAACTTTGTACAAATGTTGCTGCTGCCCGCGTTACCAGTGCTGCCGCTGTCATTTCAATTGGAAGACCTCAATTCGTCACTTCATTTTACTTCACTTTCAACAAATTATATTCATCTCCAAAATAAATCAAAAAAATCTTTGAAATAAATGATTTATTTAAACAAAATCAGCAATAGTTTTCTAAAATTCCTGTTAACAACTAGTAAGTATGGCAAAGTAACTTTTCGTAAGAAGCTACTAAAAAGACGCCTAATAAATTAAATCTCCGGCATCGGTTATTTGGAATAAGTCGTTTTGATTTTCATTTTCACATGGGTGAATAAAGTTTCATAGTTATTTAATAAATATTTGACGAAAATAACAATTATATTTTAATTTTCATACATCTTCAATTTTACAGTAAAAAGGAAACATTTAAGTGAATCTGGTGATGCCGTTGTTGCTGTGTATCTGGTGAAGACTTCGTTGCTGCGAATCGATAATTAAAGCTGCAAAAACATCGGATATAATAGTATCGATGTTTTAATATTTTTTTGAAAACATAGATGTTTTTTACTATCGATGTTTTTAGAAGATATGCCATCATAAGAAAGTTTATCCGTTGCTGATTTGGAGCAGGCAACAAGTATAAAAATTAAAGCGTAATAAACTCATAATCGTTAACAGTTTAGCTGAATTTTAACGAAAAAGCGTACCAGTAAAGGGCTAACTATAATATGAATAAGCTGCCGTAACTGACTGTCAGAAAATGAACGAAAAGTCTGTCAAATGCATAAGCAACGTAGTGTAGACTTTTAGGTGGCTATATTTTACTTACATGAGTTCAGTGTTGCCACATTTAATTAGATATAACAATAGCCACTATCAAGCAGTTTGTTGTAGATCACACAATTATAGTAACCTAGAAACGCCGAAGAACTGTTCGCCATGCGAAAATTTCAGGATAATCTGATGTTTCTGTAAAAGGAAACGCTTACGGCCCACTTCCTAATATGGAACCAGAACTTCTTTTGACCTGTGTTACATGTAGGACTGAATCGAAAAAGTTACCAAGTTGAAAAATAAGTTACCAAATTACCAAATATGAAAAAAATTACCAATTTCGGAAAAAAACACCAATGCGGCAACACTGCATGTCTTACATATGTACATACATACGTACGAGGACAAACAGCTGTTTCCGTTTGGAAGGTGCGATCAGTATCGCTCTTTCCTTAAGCAAATGACGTTTGGCGAAACTTGACGAAACTTGATGTTAAGCACATTATAGTTTCAGAATAGGATTTATGTGTATTCGCACGTTTGCATACGCTTGCTTATTCATATTATAGTTAGCCCTTAAGTATTTAGGGAAGGTATTACTCATAAAAATGATTTTGTCAGTGCCACTCGATCTCTAATTCGGAAAATTAAGACTAAAAACCTGAAGTGTACCCTAGATCATTGCCTTAAAGAGCAAATATTTAATTTATTTTATAAGACATTAATTATAACACATTAATAGTGTTGTTGCTTTATTGGCAAAAACATCAAAAAATCGATAGTTTCAAACATCGATGTTTTTGCAGCACTATCGATAATCGACTAATTACATTCTAGTTTTAATATCATTAATGGACTGTAATTTTTGATTTTCTTTCCTCAACGAAAACATTCTGATTTTAAAGATATTGCAGCAAAACAAAATAATTATAAATAAATAAAGGTTAAAGATTACTTTTATTGTGATCAAAAATAAACGATTAACCAATAGATAACAACAAATAATATAATAGGGTTTACACCCCTAATTGTGCTAGAAAGTCGTCACTTCGATAATCACTTCACTTTTCCTCCAACAAAAATCAACTCGAATTCTTAGCCTATTGAAAATTGCACTTTATTATTAATAAGCTACAAAACTGCACTACACCTGGAATTTTTCTAAAAACTGTGAATACAAAGTTTGTTGTGAAATATTTTTAATTTGTCTAAAAAGTTTGAAATATGGATTTATATAGTGTTAAGTATTATATAACTAACAAGACTTTGGTTGCCCTTATTTTTTTTACACAACAGTATATCGATGGCTGAGTGGAAGATCGACCTATCTCGGCAGCCAGTTCGAAAACGCTCTATCTCAAAAAACTTTTCAAGAACGCCCTATTTCAGAATTCGTTTCAAAAACGAGGAAACATTTAAGTGAATCTGGTGATGCCGTTGTTGCTGTGTATCTGGTGAAGACTTCGTTGCTGCGAATCGATAATTAAAGCTGCAAAAACATCGGATATAATAGTATCGATGTTTTAATATTTTTTTGAAAACATAGATGTTTTTTACTATCGATGTTTTTAGAAGATATGCCATCATAAGAAAGTTTATCCGTTGCTGATTTGGAGCAGGCAACAAGTATAAAAATTAAAGCGTAATAAACTCATAATCGTTAACAGTTTAGCTGAATTTTAACGAAAAAGCGTACCAGTAAAGGGCTAACTATAATATGCATAAGCTGCCGTAACTGACTGTCAGAAAATGAACGAAAAGTCTGTCAAATGCATAAGCAACGTAGTGTAGACTTTTAGGTGCCTATATTTTACTTACATGAGTTCAGTGTTGCCACATTTAATTAGATATAACAATAGCCACTATCAAGCAGTTTGTTGTAGATCACACAATTATAGTAACCTAGAAACGCCGAAGAACTGTTCGCCATGCGAAAATTTCAGGATAATCTGGTGTTTCTGTAAAAGGAAACGCTTACGGCCCACTTCCTAATATGGAACCAGAACTTCTTTTGACCTGTGTTACATGTAGGACTGAATCGAAAAAGTTACCAAGTTGAAAAATAAGTTACCAAATTACCAAATATGAAAAAAATTACCAATTTCGGAAAAAAAACACCAATGCGGCAACACTGCATGTCTTACATATGTACATACATACGTACGAGGACAAACAGCTGTTTCCGTTTGGAAGGTGCGATCAGTATCGCTCTTTCCTTAAGCAAATGACGTTTGGCGAAACTTGACGAAACTTGATGTTAAGCACATTATAGTTTCAGAATAGGATTTATGTGTATTCGCACGTTTGCATACGCTTGCTTATTCATATTATAGTTAGCCCTTAAGTATTTAGGGAAGGTATTACTCATAAAAATGATTTTGTCAGTGCCACTCGATCTCTAATTCGGAAAATTAAGACTAAAAACCTGAAGTGTACCCTAGATCATTGCCTTAAAGAGCAAATATTTAATTTATTTTATAAGACATTAATTATAACACATTAATAGTGTTGTTGCTTTATTGGCAAAAACATCAAAAAATCGATAGTTTCAAACATCGATGTTTTTGCAGCACTATCGATAATCGACTAATTACATTCTAGTTTTAATATCATTAATGGACTGTAATTTTTGATTTTCTTTCCTCAACGAAAACATTCTGATTTTAAAGATATTGCAGCAAAACAAAATAATTATAAATAAATAAAGGTTAAAGATTACTTTTATTGTGATCAAAAATAAACGATTAACCAATAGATAACAACAAATAATATAATAGGGTTTACACCCCTAATTGTGCTAGAAAGTCGTCACTTCGATAATCACTTCACTTTTCCTCCAACAAAAATCAACTCGAATTCTTAGCCTATTGAAAATTGCACTTTATTATTAATAAGCTACAAAACTGCACTACACCTGGAATTTTTCTAAAAACTGTGAATACAAAGTTTGTTGTGAAATATTTTTAATTTGTCTAAAAAGTTTGAAATATGGATTTATATAGTGTTAAGTATTATATAACTAACAAGACTTTGGTTGCCCTTATTTTTTTTACACAACAGTATA